TGACCACCAGTGGATGTCGATGACGCCGATACTAATTTCGGATCAACAGCTGCCGCGATACCATGACTTATGTTCGATGACGATGGTACTGATTTCGGATCAACAGCTGCCTCATGACTCATGTTTTCTTTTGCTGTACTGCTGGTCATAGCATAGTGCTTAAGACTGCTCTCCGCCTTGTGTCCGGAGACACTCATAATCTCTCTGTCTCTGAACCCAGCATTTTGTAGGGTACTGATGCTGGTTGCCCTTAGGCAGTGGTTGGTGTAAGCCTTGGTACCTGCACGAGATGTAATTGTTTTCATCTTGTCTCCGATGCTGTTTTTCCCTAGGGGTGCATTACAGTACCATTGATCAGAAGATGGATTGAATTTCAACTCACGCTTGGCCTTTGCATTTTCCGGTCTCTGCCAAAAACTCTTACATTGTGGATTCAGTGTATCTTTGTAGCGTAAGAAGGAGGCAACAGGACATCATCGTGGACCATTAGTTGGAATTATGACACCACCTTGGCTTTTCTCTAGTTTATCTGCACGATTGTTTTTTGTGAGGGTTAGGGTTATCTTTCAGAGTTATGGAGCATTTCCCCCTTCATCACAAATGTCAAAGCTGTCGAGTGTCATTTCACGCAAATTCTCTCTACCCCGATTACAAAAGTACAACATTACGTCCATAAATACCTTGTCCTGAAGACCCGCAGGATCATCCAAATCAAGCGAACCTTGGATTTTGTCCATGTCTTCTGCTGAGATGGCTGCTTTATGAGTTACAACTCCCTTTCCTTCCTGTTTAAGCATTGCTGAAAAACACTTAAAAACTCTTGTCGAGTTGGAAAATCTTCATGCTTGATGATATCTACCTTGTTACAATTGAGGAAATGACGCTAAAGTCCGAATCTAGTAACTAACATTGACTTCTCATGTAATAAGATCCGTTCTTCCGTCTAGCACCAGTGTAAAACTTTTGGAGTACCGGTACATTGTCCAGCTCCGAATTTGAAAGTTTGTCTACGCTATCGAGGTCTGTGTTGATAACTTGCAGGAAGTCTTCGAATATTTTCATGGAGAATTTCACAGAATTTTTGGTGTTCTTGCTGTCAGCAGAATTGATCAAGTCTTGCATTTGATCATCATCAAGAAGTTGAAATCTTGGGAGAGTTTCTTCAGCCATTTTTGCCTTGTTTGGAATTCAGTACGATCGAGATTGCCGTAGGCCTGCGGTCGCCTGCGCTGCGCTGTATTAAAAATTGGTAAATTAGGCTAGTGCTAGCGACCAATTCTTCGCACATGTACATGTATGTATGGTATCCGAGATCGCTCTGTATTTCAGCAAGACTGAACTATTCCCGGTAACTTGAATTTTACCCTCAAACTATTACATGGGCGTGGCATTTTTTGTTTATTTATGGGAATGGCTAAAACCATGACTGCAATTTCGACCAATCAGATGGCTGGATTTCTTAAGTGAGGTATATAATATAGTCCAATGGAGGTAACTTGTTCTGACATATGTAGGCCATTTGTACCATGCGAGGGAATGCTACGCTTGGCGTTGACTTGTTCGTTTTGTATTACCATGCACAGATTCAGACCTTTGAGATTTACAATATGAACCTACGTGATGATCAATTAGCATCCTACTGTCTGGGGAAGTTTCTCAGTCGCCTGCCTCATCTTACAGACCTGAAGATTCGCTCATGTTCTCTTCATGATGATTTCTACAAAGAGATTGCTGATCAAGCTTCTTCATCTGAGGTAAATTTTATTTTTTTATAAAGAAACAGATAAAAAGAGATTGGAAATACTTTTGTTTAAACCTGAGGTTGCGGGAAAGGAATACAAATAATTTGCAGTAAATATTCTTGACGCTTTTCTCATGAATCAATGATACTTTGTCACCAATCAGACATTCATATAACTAAATGATGACCAATTAGCTTCCTCTTGTTGTAAGAAGTTTCTGTTTTTGGATTAGAGCATTCCAGCTTTATTTTTAAAAGTTGATCTTTTATATGTTTGTGTTTATTATATATACATTTTACACAGACAATAAAACCAACCAACTTAACAGTTAAAGGTTATTTTGCTCTTTAGATTTCCTTTTACAGACTCTCCCTCCCCTACAATGGGGGTAAATATGATGTAAACAGAATACTAATGATTACAATTCGTCTTTTATAAAACAAATTTTAGACATGGTACAGTGTAAACAATACTTCCATTTTGTGTGAAAAATGGTACTTTGGGACGTGGCGCGCCAGAACTAGCATGGATTTTTTTTCTGCTCCTACATTTAGCTACGCAGACTACCTGCATATACCCCAAACAAGCATGCTTACCTCTTTCCTTCTTTTTAAAAATTCTGATTTTTTAAAGTACAGAACAAATGGGAAGGGAGCTGGCAAAATATGTCACAAAGTTGCCAACTTGTGTTTGATTGATCGCAAATTCATGATTATTATCCCCTCGTCGACAACTTGAAGTTTGAGGGGCTATAGTAACGCTGCTGTCCGTCCTTCTGTCCATCAGTCTGTTCGTAACAAATCTGGTTTCTGTTCGATAACTTTAGTGATTTTAATGAAATTTGATATGAAAGTACATGGTATCAATCAAAACACAGCTTAAGTTTGATTTTGGAGTATGTAGGTCAAAGGTCACAGCTCATTAAATATGCCAAAATAGGTAAATATTGGCTATTAATTTTGTACCCGGTGAGGGGATGTTATGCTTTGTGTAAACTTGTTTATTATTGGAATTTGCTTAAACTTTCAATGACCTGCTTCTCTCATTTACCTGCTGATATTAAAACCAACTTTATATCAGGGTGGACTTCCCCTTTTAAAAAATTGACCCCAACATGTCTATTCCCATTTATACCTATAGTTTTTTTTTTATAAAACGGTATATTACCATAAAACAGAGTGACTACTAGGGGAAAAACAGGAAAAGTGTTTATGAGTGTGTTTTCTTTGAGCAATTATGAAAAAAACACAACTGAATTGGGCCGTAAGATATCTATCTTTAGGGAAAAAAACATATCTGCTTCGATCATCAAGAACAAGGTGTAATTAAAATTCTTTTTCCTTTTCATTAGATTCTGTCTGTATGGCATTGTAAAACATGACTAATCTGCCATTGTTTTTCATACAAGCTTTTCTTATCATTTTTTAAGGTGGAGAATGTACAAATCATAACTTGAGTCTAATATTATATGAAAAGATTTATTGATAGTACTCTACTTCATTGTCATTTCGCACACAGGGAGGTAAATCCTCAATCAAAGAGCTGGCTGTAGATCATCAATTCCTAAATGATCTACAGAGGTTTGATAATGGTGACATTAATGTCACAATTGACAACCTTTTCCCGAGCTTGAAGCAATTGACTTTCACCACTCTTAATACTGTCTCACCGGGAGTTGTTGAACGGTTGGCACATTCCAGCCTAGCAGAGTTGTCTATTGAGCATGGTGAGGAAGGGAGACAACTTGTTCCTCTCATTGGAGATCCTGCTTCACTAGGGCAACTTTTCTCCAGTTCATTCCCACAACTCACCTATCTGACCTTCCGAGAGCTAGTAATGGGCAACATACGCAGTGAAGCAATACTACGTAATCTAAAGAACCACCTGCATTTGAAATCAATAAGGTATGTTCAGGGCCATGTTTGCAGAAATTGTCACTATTTCCAATGATAACAATGATAATAATAATAATAACAATAATGATAATTATTACTTACAGCCCACCTGTTTATGAGAATAAGTATAATAATGATATTAATACTAATCAATAAATAATTTAATTAGTTATTTAAAAAACCCAGATAGGGCTATATATGTATTGAAAAAAAAAAAATTAAATGGTTTCATTTTCTGACAGCAATCAGAATTTTGCCAAGAGCAATTTTTGTCTCGCCTGCGTAGCAAAAAAGCGAGACATTGTTGTAATAAGTTATATGACTCGGTGAAATGATAGAGTCTGGCAGACGATGTAGTTACTGATTAGTAGCCATATTGTAAGAAACCTTTATTTATGTATCCTTCCGCCTAGCTCGGCGTGGTATTTACATATCATATCTCATGTTAATGTAGTTCCAAGTGGACATACAACATCTCCCTCACAATAGATTTTTTTTTAAAATGAATAACAAAGAAAAGTTATAACAGTTAATCATAAAACCTCTTGAAACTCCAAACACCTGCAAGCAAACATTTTGCAAATACCAATACCTTAAAAATACTTTAACATATGCCCGACTGATTGCCAAGTAACAATTAAGGAATATGTTTATGATTCATAAGAACCCAAATTCGCAACCTTACTTTAGTTCCATAAAGTAGTCCTTTTTTGAGAGATTAATACGTGGAATACCTAAAACCAAATGATAAAAAAATAAAACTATGCGGTTACATATACATCAGCAAACACATGCCTGTACAGTTTTTTTCTTCTATATTGACATTTCCAACTTCTTATTTGCTAATCCAAACTTGGCCATTTAGAAGTAAATTGTACTTACATATATTTACAACCAAAATACTGTAATACTAGTTTGTAAGCAAAACATTGTTTAAAATTTGCTCATACAAAGAACTTTGCTGGGCAGAGCTACTGAACAACTCTATGGAAACTTTAGAACATATATTCAACTTTGTTCTCATATTCTTAAAACATTTATAATAACTCAACACAAAACACTGTATTCAAGAATGTTATGTTGCTTGATTATCTAACATAAAGATACCATTGGGCACATTTCTTTACATTAGCATCATTGCATGCCATTCTATTTATTGTATGCTATTTCTCTCTTCTCCTTTTCTTTTTTTGTTGTTGTTGTTGTTGCTATGAATAAGTAAAACAACATTTTTGGTTATTATCCAGTATACATGAAGTGTCTTTATGTGAGATTCTAATTATAAACTGGAACCTTTGTTCAATCTATATAGTCTGTCACTTTTTGTGTTTTAATTCTTCTTTCAAATTGTTTTTGGTAGTGTTTAACGATAACGGACAGGTTTATTACTAATGCGTCCAGAACGTGTTCTGTAAGGGTCTGTCTCGGATCCTGTCTGGTGGTCTAGTGACTGGTCATGGTCAAGACCGTCTGCAATTCTTTTGTTCATTGGGGTAGGTGTGTTAGGTAGGCGCGCATCTTTAGTTAGCTCTGCCAGACGAGGCATCTGTGGGACATCTCTCAAGTGTACCCTATTCCTTCTGAGTCGCGTGCCATTTGGGGTTGTGACTATGTACGACCTGGCCTGCAGATCATTACATAAGTTTGTCACCTCAGCTGGAATCCAAGTGTGGGATTCTTTGTCCAGGAAGCAGACTTTCTGTCCTACTCTGAGCGGCTGGAGCTCTTGCTTGCTTCCAATCACATCGTAGTCTGTCTTCATGCGTCCCCTGCGCTGTTCCAAACGTTCCTGGTTCTTTTGTCCTTGATATGTTGTATTCGAATGAAGGTTAGCAGGAAGTAGTGTTCGGACTTGGCGGCCGAACATCATTTCGGCTGGGGATGGAAGATGGGCATCCACTGGAGTACATCGTAGGTTTAGTAGAGCTGCTGCTGTACTTTCTCCAGTTGCCTGTGTTTTCCGTATGATCTCTTTCACTGTTCGGACCGTACGCTCTATTTGTCCGTTTGATTGGGGGTACCTTGGTGAGGAGGTCTGATGCGTAATTCCCCAGTCCTTGCACATTTGCTGAAAAGCGGCACCGATGAATTGTGGGCCATTGTCTGACATAATCTCTGTAGGAGATCCCAGAAGGCCAAATATGCCAGTTACAGCATTAGCCACACTTGCACTCGTTGTGGAAGTCAACCGATGTACGACTGGGAATCTCGAGTGATAATCGACTATAAGAAGATACTGAACCGTATTCAACTCAAACAGGTCCATGCCTACTTTGGTCCAAGGTGTGATAGGGATTTCATGAGGAAGGAGTGGTTCCCTTCTCTGCTCAGGCATCCTTTCCTGGCATTGGTTGCACAGTCTGACACTTTCGTCAATCTGGCGATTTATGTTTGGCCAGTAAACCGACTGGCGCCCCAGGAGTCTCATCTTCTCGATGCCCGGATGGCCTTTGTGCAGTTGCTGAAGGATATCTTGTCTCATAGATTGGGGAATGATCACCTGTCTGCCTTTGAAGAGGACACCTCCAGACATGCCTAGTTCATCACGAAATGGCCAGAATGGGCGCAAATCGTTTGGAAGTTCCTGAATAGTTGCAGGCCAACCAGCATGAGTGAATTCTTTCACTTGCTGTAGAATAGGATCCCTGGTAGTCTCCTTCTGTAGTGCTTCTTGCTTGAGGCTCCCGAAATGGAGCAGATCGATACCCAATGGGTCCTCAACCTCGTCAAGTAGTATGCTTTCTACGTGGACATCCAGCGGAATGTCTTCTGCCTTCGTCGGATTTGGCAGTCTACTGAGCGTGTCAGGAATAATCATCTCTGTTCCTGGTCTGTGTTCAATTGTGAAGTTGTATCCTTGAATCTTCACTAAGAGCCTTTGTAGCCTGGGCGGGGCACTTGTGAGTGGCTTGCTGCATATCGTCACAAGTGTTTTGTGGTCAGTCAGTATCTTGAAGTCTCTCCCAAAGAGGTAAGTGTGAAATCGGGTAATCCCGAAGACAAGGGCCAGTGTTTCCCTCTCAATATTTGAGTACTGGGCTTGGCAGGGAGAGAGACTTTTTGAGGCGTATGCCACAGGCCTTCCACGCTGTGAGAGACATGCTCCCAATCCTTTGGACGACGCGTCTACTTCAAGGGTGACAGGTAGCCCTGGATCGTAGTACTTCAGCAAGCTGTCTTGCTGGATAGCTTTCTTCAGCTGGCAGTATGCCTCCTGGTGATCCTCTTGCCACATGAATGGGACATCTTTCTTCATGAGATCACGCAAAATAGCGACTTGGTCTGCATAGTTCGGGATGTAGGGTGACAGGAAGTTCATCATGCCTAGAAACCTCTGAAGGTCCTCTTTATCCTGTGGGGTAGGCATTGTGTGGATATCCTCCACCTTGCAGGGATCGGGACTGATTCCTTGATCTGAGGTAATCGTCGCGAAGAAGTTGATCGAGCTCGCTTTCACTACACATTTGCTGCTGTTGAATACGAGTCCCTCCTTTGAGGCCACCTCAAGCAGCTTTGTGAGGTTTAGGTCGTGCTCTTCTTCCGTCCTGCCCATGACGACTATATCTTCTGCTATGCAAACACATCCTTGGGTCTGCCCTATTATGTCATCCATTCGCTGTTGGAATAGATCTTGGCTTGTTGAAAGCCCAAACGGAAGACGAAGAAAACAATACCTCCCGAACAGAGTACGGAATGTAGTCAGCTCTTGTGAATCTTCACTCAGATGCACTGACCAATAGCCAGATTTCGCATCTAACTTAGTGAAGAACTTCCCATTCGCAAATGATGGGTTGGTCTCTTCAAGTGTTTGGATTTTATGAGGGCACCGCTTGAGACTTTCATTCAGGCGCTTGGGGTCCAAGCACACCCGGATTGATCCATCCTTCTTTACTGATGTAGTGATAGAGCTGCACCAATCAGTGTGATGCGTTACCTTACGAATTACACACTGTTTTTCCATCTTGTCAAGCTCGGCTTTTAACTTATCCTTGATATGAATGCTGCACTTCCGTAGGGCATCTATGTGCGGATTGGCATCTTCCTTCAACAGAAGGGTAGCTGGGTCCTTGAAGTTACCTATGCGGTCGAATTGGCCCGGCCATCGTGAAATAAGGTCGTCTACTGTCTGTATGCATGGTGCTTGACCTGGAACATTTATAGGTGCTTCAACACATTGTTTCACCGTGTGGAGAGTGACCAGCTTAAGGGCCTTGCTGCTTGAAAGGCCTAATATTGAAGGTCCTGGTACATCGACCACGAAAAACTCCCGTTTACTCCAACCTGAATCCTCATATTGACACATGAGATCAAGAGAACCGATACAAGGGATAACCGTTTCACCATAGGCCATGAGCCGGACACGCCGTGGCCTTACAATAGAGCGCCACTGGCCATCGGGGTACATTTTGTTTACAATACGAAGAGGGAGTGTGTTGCCCCCTGCTCCAGTATCTATCTTCACCTTCAGCTGATGTTGCCCGACCTTGTATGGACAAGCGATATCTACTACTGCGAAAGCTTCCTTGTCCTCTTCTTCGTCCTTGGTGTCCATGTTTGAAATCACTATCGTGCTGAAATGCTGAGGGCACAATCCTCTTTATGGGTAGAGGGTATCTGTTCATTCACTTCTAGAGGCGAAGTGTCAAACTTCTCATGGCTCGGTCCACATCTTCTATCTGACTTGGACCTGCAGAATTTGGCCCAATGCCCCTTCTTCCCGCAGTACTTGCAGTTATCATGATATGCTGGGCATTTCCTGGGAGAATGATGCAGTCCACAATTACCGCATTGTTTGCGCTCACTCATTCTGGGTCTGCCATCTTTGCTAGGTCTCTGTGGTTTCCTACTGAACGCGTCAATGTTTGACACTGGGGTCAGGTCTGCCAGACACTGCTTGCCAGCAGCAATGGCCTCATATTGCCTTCCTAGTGTGACCACATCCGTAAGGGGGTGGCCTGCTGGTTTCTGCAACAAATCTCGCTGCAGACCATCAAAATGCGTAGATGCAATTACCAGTTCAATTATTCGTTCGTTGAGTTCTGCATCTGTGAAAGTGCATTGGCGGCTTTTGTCCCTACAGCGGGTCACAAAATCGTCAGTGGATTCTTCGGGTTTCTGCCTATACCTCATAAGTTCAAGACGGTGGATACGAAAGTTAATACTGACTTTCAACTGCTTCTCGAAAAAATCCCATACTTTTTCTGGTTTATCCTGATCTGCAGTACTAAGACCTGAAGCATTGAGGCGTCGCAAACCTTCTACACCTAAAGCAATCTTTATCTTTGTTGCTATCTTCACTTCATCCGTAATATCTAAATCTTTCAAGCATAGTTCCATGCGCTGCTTAAAGAGAGAGAATCCACTTGCCAAGTCGGGCATCTGCCAATTCATTTCAGGGAGACGCGCCATAGTTAATGCGTTGCAACTCGATAAGTCTAACAAATCCAGTCCGTCTTAATCGTTACCTAGGCTACGAGTGTTCACAGTATGTGATAAAAATAAGTTCTCACACAAGACACGCATCAATAATTGTCAATTGGCCGAAAGTTATTTGCATAAATAGAAATATGCCCAGGTATTAGCAGTAATTCACCTATTGGTCGGAACTACTTGAATGCTGCTCACATCAAATTTGCAGGCAAAATCAATTACGAGCATACATGTACACTTTAAATGCGTGTAGATCCATACCCTGTGCTAGTACATGCTTATGGGTGGTTCTACAGCTGCTGCTACAAAATTTTGGAGCCAAATCTGATCCGATTTGGCCACTCAATTTGGTCCTACTCAGTCTGGGGGTCAGATCTCAATTATTATTATCGTCTAACAATAAGTACACAAATTGTCACAATATACCTGAATACTTGGACTATTTATTAACTTTTCTGAACCTGAAACCCAACTCATCAATTGATCTTTCCTTTGGTCCAGACTAGGTCCCTTTTAGGTATTTTGGGATTTTCGTATAGCTAGGCTAAAATATAGTGGCCTACACTCTGCACTATATACCTCTGTAATCTACGTCTACTGTAGATGTGTACTTAGTCTACCAAAAAAAACTACAAGAACAGAGTTTAAAGCATTGATATGAGCACCAGCAGACTTCGATCTAAATCTAGACTTAGATCTAGTCTAGTCTAGTTACAATTGAGAATGATGATCCAGGTCAAGAGCTAAAGTCAGACTTGGATCCCTAACTGGTACTCAGTCCCAGATTTAGACTCTCACACAGTAGATATCTCCTCGGCACAGGTGCTGAACTGAAATGCAAACCCAACTGCTAGTGTTAGACCAGATTTAGATTAAACCCTTATATAAATCTAGACCGTTATAGAGCACCGGTCTAAGTCTGAGTCACACATGTATTCAGTAGTGCCTGGCTTGGGCCAGATGATATCCTTGAGTCTACTAAAAATTAGACTCCTTATCATGGACTTTACAAGGTCAAGGATTTTTGGACTAGACCTAGATCTAGATCTACTTGTAGAGTCTAACAAAGTTTGATCTAAGTTTGGCTGTCTTTATAAAACTGCTGAATAAATAGACTAGATATAGGCCTAGATCTAGACTAAATCTATTCCAGACTTAGTCTAACACTCATGTGTTAGGCGCCTTGGATCAATTCGAGTGGCAGTAATCACGCGGCTTTATGCAACGCGGCCTAGTTTGCGTGAAAGCCACAATCGTCCGAAACCCTCTATTGAGAAGACGCCATGCGAAAATCCCGCACAAAAGACCGTACGCTCCAACGACTTTAGAACAGTGCACGACTTTCTCATATTGCTTTCAACTGATACCAGTTGACCGCCCTCTATAGGCCATGTAACTCTCAAACTATGCAGGGGCTGCGAAGGCGGGTGGCTAGGGCTTTTTTTTTAGTAGACACGTTTCATAAAAGCTCCGAAAAAGGGGTTTATAGATTGTTCGCATGCTCAGACCTCCCCCCCCCCCCCTACTCTCAAAAACGCTCCGCGGTCCCTGCTATTTAGGGTTAGAATTCAGATTCCCTTCCTCAAAGGGATAACTTATTAAGAAAAATTATTTATCACACATTTATACAAGTCATACATTAATGCTTTTTCTTCCTTTAATATGTTTCGCTTTGTTGTAGCTTCATTTGTCTCGTTTTCGTTTCCAAACTTCATTAATCTGTGTTGGGTTATCTTAAACAATATTTGACTATTGGAACATTTATAAACTTATGGGCAATACGCTTGACTAATCATGAAAAGATTGTTTAATAGTTATAAATGAACGGCGCAAAATGAAAGCGCCGTAAAAAAAAAAGTAACAACAACAACAGCAGCAGCCTTCATTTTTTCTTTTATCCTCAAGCGAGGTTTTTATTTCCATCATTTCAATACATATTTACATTATTAACTCAATGATTGAGTGAAACGAGTGAAAAATAACATAAACATTAAAGTATATACAACAATTCTACCAGCTTAGTATTATTTTCTTTGATTGCACAATCATGCCTAAAAAAAATCTTACCAACGACCCAGACTAGACAATCGTTTTAAGGTAACATTTTATCAACGAAGAAAATGGATATTACATTTAGAGTTCAGAAATAAACAATATGAAATGAAACAATAGGAGTGATCGAGAGGAAGGAAAAAGAGAGGTACTGAGGAGATGAATTAAGACAAAACAATAGAAAAAAAATCGTGGGAGAGAATTCAATAACACAATCAACTTGAAGTTATATAAAAATGTGAGGAACAAAAAAAGACCAAAAGTCTATCAAAGGTTTGTCCCCATGTATATGAAATGAAAAGAATCTAACACAGTTACACGGGCAATAAACAAATTAAAAATAAGTGGTGAAGTGTGACGTCGTCAATAATCTATGTTTTGAATTTCTCAATTTTTTCTTTATTTTTCGAAGGAGCATCAAAAATAATGTCCTAATATTGATAACAAGGATTGGCTAAGATATGACCATCTGAATAAATATATTTCCTATAGGAACTCAGTGTTATTTGCTCTGGCTCCTAATGACTTTATCTTGGACATTCAACGTTGCCTTTGCCCAACTCCGCGCATTAAACAGTAGTTTATTGATCGGATGTCACGAACAATACACGGGTTGACGCTTCCCTTTTGTTCCTAGACCCCCCCCCCCCCTTCCCTTCCCTTTCCCTCTCTATCAAACTCACCGTGAAAGGAGAGACAACATAGCATAATAATAAATAAATACAGTACAGACTATATACCGATGCGCCCAACTTTCCCTCCTTCTCTCTCTCTCTCTCTCTCTGTCTGTCTGTCTGTCTTTCTCTCTCTGTCTCTCTCTTGTTTTGTTCTTCTTTCTCCTCCGCATCTTTTCTTTCTTCTTCTCACTCTTATTCCCCCTTCTTTTTCTTCTTCTTCTTCTTGTTCTTCTTCTTGCTGTTCTTCTTCGTCTTCTCCCTCTTCTTCTTCTTCATCTCTTTTTATTTAGATACTCAATTTTATGAGAAAAATACACAATATATAAAATGTAAAAGATTTGTATGTAAATCTCTGTTGCATCAAATTAATATGAAATAGTTTATCAGCCTAAATTGACGGTTATAATATATGTCGGACATTATACTTTATCGAAAAGATATAAACATGATAAAATGAAACTAAAGAAGAATCCAGAACGGGGGGGGGGGGTGAAAGGAGAGACAAAATAGCATAATACTGTACAGACTATACGATGCACCCAACTTTCTCTCTCTCTATCTATCTATATATATATATATATGTCTATCTGTCTGTCTTTCTCTCTCTTTCTCTCTATTTCGCTCTCTAAAAAGATGATATAGGGAAAACAAAATAGTTTGTAAGTATTGCTTGGAGAGCAAAATAATTAGTTTTTTTTAATTTACTAATGTAAAAAGCATTTTGAGCATGCTTATGTAAAGGTGTTATTTGAATATATTGCCAAGTTTTGACAATTATAGTTTTTAAGTATATGTATTGACAAAGTACATACAAATAAAACCGACACAGAAATGTCTGCAAGTATTTGGGACCTATATAGAATATGCGAAAAGAGCTATGTCTTTGTCTTCGGCCCATGATCCCACAGCTTAGTTACGTAAGAGGAACAATTAAAGTTGTGGAGGTAGGTCGTTGTCATGGTCGTTATCAACTCCTACAATAGAAGAGCGGAAGTAAGGTAAGGGTATAATTGAATGACAATGAACTGATCCGTGTATGTACTACATGTATGACCCTGTTTTCTTTTTGAGGGGGGGGGGGGTAGGGGATCTTGTTGTTTTTGCAGTTGTCGTTGCTGTTTTTTAAATTTGTTAATGTGATCACGTCCCGACATACTCATAAATATCTGAAACAATCATTCAAAGACAACGATCATGCACGATAAAAGAATGGACAAGAATATGTAATAAGATAGAATTTCACAGACAAATAGATAATTATAAGAAATGACTTTTCTCTCTATTTATGTGTGTGTGTGTCTCTCTCTCCCTCTCCCTCTACCTCTCGCTCGGTTGCTTTCTCTGTATGTCTGTCTCTCTGTCTATCTTCCAATGTTGTTCCACCATTTGCTTG